GGGAAAGGAGGACGAACAGCCGCGGCCGGGGGCAGCGCACCTGTCGCGAAGAATGGATCCCAGTCGCGGCGGGGTGGAAAAAAGCCATCTGCTCAATGGAGTGGAAAGCAGGTGAGTGCGGCTCCGCGGGCCCGTTCGCTTGACTTCTCCGCCCCGACGACGATGCCGACCGCCTCTGCCGAGGTCTCCCTTCCGCCGCCGAAGCCGGCGCCCGTCGTCGAGTCTCCCGCGCGTGGCCGTCCCAGCCTTAAAGCGGCCTCCTACAGCCCGGGCTTCCTCGGAAGTAAATCTCCATCTGATCCGAAATAAGGCCCGCTGCTCCGGTTAATGGGGAAATGCCCTGACGGATGACAGTCTTGGCTAACTTCCATTCGCTTTGGAAGGGTGCCCCCCCATGCCCCCAATCAAATGAATCCCTTTAATTCCACTCGGCAAAAAGATTGGAATAAACAGCCCCACATTTGGAGTTAGTTGTTTGCTCCATTTCAACTTTCTGATTAGGCGTTCAAATATCTCCCCCTCCCCTTTTTTATAATATCAGCGTTGACAAAAAATAAGGGGGATCCTTGGACTTATTGCCCCCCCCGATGTTCAGGAAGGGAGGGGTTCTTCAGCATGAAGCAACTATTTGGGAGGCTTCATCTGTTGAATTTCTGCCTGTTGTGTATCTGCTAAGGGCAAGGCAGCAACAAGCCCTATTCCAAAAAAGAAAAAGATGGTGGCCAGAATCCTGCAAGCCTCCCCAGGTGTGTGTGAGAAAGTTGTTATCTCCTGCAAACAACTTTGACGTCCTTTGAATGCAATCAGAAAGATGTTCAAGCGTTTCGGGGGTGGGAGGACTCTGGTTTTTCCCAAGGGATTATTTTGCAGTAGATTCTAATTTTTAATACGCTCATCCCTGAGAGCGGGACCAGACCAGAACGGCCAACTGTTTTGAGCTAGTTCAAGTCAAAGTGGGATCCTGCAGCTAACGTGGCTGGAAGGAGGACACTAGTCGGAATTGTCACTGCAACATTTGGAATATCCCCCATCTCTTGGTTTAAGTAGCAACCTTGTGTAAAAACCCCTTGAACTGGAAAGCAGCACTATTTGAGTTTCAGAAGGGCAGGTAGAACCAGCAGGTTCGGAGCTATTACGTTTTAAATTAGATTTCTAGCCTAGCTTTCGTCAGAAAAAATACACTGTTGCTCCCGACAGTCGCCGCCTTGTTTTATCCTGTAACAACCTTGGGTTGTAGGCTTGGCTGAGAGGGAGTAGCTGCTCTAATTCACCCATCCAGGGCCCAGTTGAGTTGATTCTCATTGCCTAAATGCCATTCAGTGTATACAGGTAGTCCCCAGTTTAAGAATGAGTTCCGTTCCCAAGATCTGTCCTAAAGCTGAATCTGTACATAAGCCAGAACAATATTATTGTATAATACTGTATAAGTAGCATTGTAATGAACTCGAACCATTGAGTACTTAACTCAAATCATTGTGTTTTTAACTCGAATTTTGCTACAGTAGGTTTTGTTCTTAACTATGGGTCGTCTGTAACCCGGGGATTCTTAACCCAGGGATTATCTGTCCTTGGGGAAGGATGGGGAGGGTTGTTAAGCAGCTAGAAGCAGCAACTGGGAGGTGGCATTTGAGCTCTCCTTGACCTGCTCCCTTCCGATGAGAAATGCTTCTTTGAAGTTGCTGGTGGCGTTTCCCATGAAGCCTCTGTGGTTGCCTTTCTCTATCTGGCACTGCATTCTGGGACCCATTCCCTGGTTCAAACTGCAGCTCCAGAATTCTCAACCAGTCAATTTTAGGTAGCCATTCGGAGTGAAGATGGCAAAATATAAAAAGCTCTGGTGGATCCAACTAAAGGTCTTCTAATCAAGAGTCAAACTTGTGCTTCTGGGAAGAATGCACACAGGATGTGGCACCTGCAGAAGTTTTCACTGTCGCCCCATTCAGCAACAGGGCAGATCTCTGTAAGCCAATGTTTCTCAACCTTAGCAACTTTAAGACGTCTGGACTTCAACTCCCAAA